ATAGTGTTTGACAATGTAAACTGGCAATTTATGTTTCAGCAATTTTCAGAAATGGACTTTGGAAATTTTTTTATAAATGTAATCAAAACAATTTATTGTAAACAAACAGCCAAAATAATTGTAAATGGAGATCTTACAGAAAACTTCAATATTAAAAAGGGCACAAGACAGGGATGCCCACTATCTCCATTACTATTTATACTAACATTGGAAGTACTGAATAGAAACATTACACAAGATATAGAAATTAAAGGACTGGAGATAAAAGATGAAAAATATAAACTACAAGCATTTGCAGATGATTTGGTTTTCATATTGGAAGATCCATTGGAAACAAGCACCAAATTTCTGGAGAAAATAGAAAAATTTGGTAGAAGAGGCAGGATTGACAATAAACAGAAAAAAGACTAAAGTGCTAACAAAGAATCTAACAGAAAAACAAAAAAATCAACTAACAAAAAACCAAATCTTCAAATAGTTAAAAAAGTTAAATATTTGGGAATTTATCTAACAGCAAGATGTGTAACAATAAAAGAAGATAACTATGTAAGACTGCTAAAACAAATAAAATTGGATTTGGAAAAGTGGAAAAACTTCCAACTTTCAGTGTTGGGTAGAATAGCAACAGTGAAAATGAATGTCCTACCAAAAATACTCTTTTTATTTCAAATGATTCCTGTAAGGCTGGGAAAGGCCTTTTTTGATGAACTGAATACAATAATATTGAAATTTATCTGGCAAGGAAAAAAAACTAGAATTAAAGTGAAAATGTTACAAGAAGCGAAAGAAAGTGGAGGATTTGGACTGTCAGACTGGAAGTTATACTACCAAGCAACTATTTTAACATCGCTTAAAGAATGGATAATGCTTAGAGACAAAAGACTATTGTACCTAGAGGGGCATGACCTACAAATTGGTTGGCATGCCTTTCTGTGGTATGGGAAGAATAAAATACATAGATACTTTCAAAACCATTTTATAAGGAATGCACTTTTTTCAGAATGGGGAAAAATAAAAGAAAAAATGTATATTAAGATACCTGAATGGCTTTCAACAATGGAAGCTTTTGCTTACCCAAATTTAATCAACTATGATAAAGTTGTGACTTATAAAAATATTTTGGACAATGAAGGAAAATTGAAAGACAGACAAGATTTACAAAAACAAGGTATTGATCTAGCATGGTGGCCATATCTGCAAATTCAAACGAGATACGAAAAAGATGTTAAAACAATGGGATTTTATAAAGAACAGACAGAATTTGATCAGATACTGCTAAAAACAGATGAAAAGTTGATTAAGAAACTCTGTAGATTTCTGTTAAACTTAAAGATGGAGGAAGAACACGTAAAAGAAACAATGATAATATGGGCAAAGAACTTTGGATATAATATAGAATTACAAGATTGGCAAAAGTTATGGGAAAGAAATATTAAATTAACTAAAGCAGTGGCATATAAAGAAAACTTATATAAAATGTTTTACAGATGGCACATGACCAGTGAGATTAGCAAAAATGTTTAAAAATACTTCAGACAACTGTTGGAAATGCAAACAAAGACCAGGTACTTATTATCATATCTGGTGGATATGCCCTAAAGCAAAAAGATTTTGGGTTAAAATACATTTATGGTTGGAGAAAATGACTAAAAAACAAATAGACTTTAAGCCAGAAGTATTTTTGTTAGGAATAATAGGAGCTAGTTATGAGATATATTGCAGATATTTAATACTACACGTATTAACGGTAGGTAGCAAGAATTGTATTTGCCCAACATTGGAAAAATGAAAATTTACCAGCTGAAGAAGTACTAATTAAGAAAATTCTAGAGTGTGCAGAAATGGATAGATTGACTTTAAAGATAAAAGAGAAAGAAGACTCAGTGTACTTTAGAACATGGGATAATTTCTATCAATGGCTAGAAAAACAAGTTAGAGAGAAAGGAATGTGATATGTAATTTTGAATATATATTAGCAAGAAGAAGGCTATTGAGTGATTAATTAACATATTGTTATGATAACTAACTATTATTTATTATTGTTTGTTAAACACATGAACCCAGACATTATGCTGTTTGCTAAATATTGAGAATGTTATTTGGAAAGACCCCAACCCTAACCCTAATCCTAACCCTAACCCAAATCCCAACCCCAACCCCGACCCCACCCTATTCCTAACCCTATAAAAAAAATAAAATCTATACCAAAACAAACATGCCCTGACAAATAATGGGGAGGCATTCAAATTCACATGCAATGGGAAAGAAGTAACTTCAAGTATTAATATGTAAATGGGTTAACAAGTTTACTTTACAAACTCAAGCAAATAACCATATGGAAATCAATT